TTCATAGTGTAGGCCTTCAGAAAAAAGAAAACATTTAAGGCAAAGAGATTGGAACCATCTCAATCAAATATGATACTTCATAACTGTTGTCTCCTTTTAGTTCTGGGTCCTGTAATCAGAGGTAGGAGAAAATGAGGTATATAGCTCTTTAGCTCTGTGTGTGTGTGTGTGTGTGTGTGTAATTGGGGATAGGGGAATAGGATGGAGGATGGAGAAGATCTGGGCTTCCACTGAGGAAAGGTTCTAGGTGTATATGTGGACCTCGAAGTGAGGAAATGGGAAAGTCTGTCTTCTCATAGATACCCACGATGAAGTACTACACAAATTGTGTGCCACATTCACCAACAAATGAAAATGCTTGTAATAGCTGAAACTTTAACAGGAGCAGTAATAATGGTCATGGCATTATGAATTTCTCAGCCGTCCTTCTGGAATTAACAATGTAGTAATAGTGAATTTCTTCCCTCTATCCCAGGAGGAGTAAGGGCAGCAGATTCACAAGTGGATTTGGCCCATCCTAAAATCAAGCTATCACTATTCATTCTGCTTGGATCATAATTGCAATCTGACATCTAACACATTATTACAATAATCAAAAGTCATTCAGAAGGATATCTTAAAAGGTAATCCTAAATTGTGTTCTTGCTTGGAGCCAATGACTACATTGAAGAAAATGACTTTTTTTATTGCTCATGGCAATTAGCTTTAGAAACCTTCTGTAAGTTCCTGAATCCCTTTTATAGGAACCCAAACTCCCAGACTTGTAAAATGTAGGTCTTTCAGGATATTCAAAGTCCAATACTGAGTTCAGTGACAAGGCGTTTTTACCAATTGTGGAATAGCAAAAGAAGCAATATACCTTGACAAGAGAAATACCAGAAATCTCACACAACTCTTGCATTTCATGAGTCTTCAAGGTGTTGAGAGAAGGAGAACTGGGAGGTGAAAGAACATATAGTGTTCTTATTTGAGCAGTAGGGGCTTGGTGGTAGTTATAAAACCTTTAAAAGTTTCCCACTTTGAGTTAGGTTGACAGAAGGGTGATGATTAATTAGTCCTAGGGCAACTGTATTAAAATACCATA